GCACAATGGCACACCTGCTTTCTTGGCACCTGTTGCCCTGCACCTAGCATGAGATCCTGGCCTGCTCTTCCAGTCCCATCACAGCGGAAGAAGAGCCTAACAACTTGCAAACCACTGAGCACAGCAAGCTGCTGCTGCTGCTACCAGCACACCACATGAAGAGAAAGGGGTGTTAGAAAGCTCTTTAACACAAAACAAATTTATTCTTTTAGAAGTGTATTCTTCCTTTGTGGAAAGGTGCAAACAAGACTTCAGCTGCAAACCAAGCATTCTGTTCTCCTGGAAAGCATGGTAGCAAGGATTTATGTATTATTCAAATGGCTACAAATGTTCTTTGCAGCACTGTTGGCTCAACTGATGTCTGGGTTTCTGCTCCCTGCCTCCAAATTTTAGTACTTTTCTAAAAGTTCTGAAATGACAGTCACACCTCTGCAGGCAAGAGCAGTAACACTAAAGGCTTTCTGACATCTTCATTTCCAAAATATGCTTCCAGCATATTATCCTAATCAAGGGGCAATCCATATATCTCTATCCAGAACTGTAGAGAGATCAGTTATTTTCATACACTCATGTATCTGTGTGGTGGCCTTAGGAGAAGGTGGCCCATAGCTCTTCTGTCACCATAGCTCAGTGGTTCAGATGGTATCAGCATGTTTGTTTTAGTCAAAAGCACCATCAAAACCAGCGTGCCAGGAGGTAGTGAATGATGGGAAGTCACTTTCTGTCACAGAAATAGGGATAGTCACTTTTCCTATTTCTGTGCCCTGTATTTGGGCTGCATTATTTGCAGCCAAACGTCACAGAAATAAGAGATAGTCACTTTTCCTATTTCTATGCCCTCTATTTGGGCTGCATTATTTGCAGCCAAATACTCTGCTATTTCCAGCAGTGCTCCAGGGAGCTGTATTACTTCTCCACAGAGCTCAGCAGCTGTTCATTAGGTTAGTCTCCCAGTTCCTTTTGCCTGCATGATGTTCACCCTGCAGTGCCAGATGACAGGAGCTTTAAGTGCTATCTGTTGCTCTGCATTATCCCTCATAGGACTTTGGAACCTGTCCAAACCACGGAAAGAACAGAGAGAGATTTATTCTTGGATTAGGATACAAAATGCCACAATTTATCCTAACAAAGGAAGGGTGGAGAGGAGTAACTGGCATACTGAGAGTTTAGTGTACTTTGTCCCCCCTTTAGGGGGCAAAGCTCTAGTACCACTGGTGCATTGGGATGCTGCCATGCAGCAGCATTCAAAAGCTGAAAGCCATCATTTCATGAATATATTTTGGCAAGAACCTAAGAAAGAGCAGAGAGAGTTTGATTCTTGGATTAGGATACAAAATGCCACAATTTATCCTAACAAAGGAAGGGTGGAGAGGAATAACTGGCATACTGAGAGTTTAGTGTACTTTGTCCCCCCTTTAGAGGCAAAGCTCTAGTACCACTGGTGCATTGGGATGCTGCCATGCAGCAGCATTCAAAAGCTGAAAGCCATCATTTCATGAATATATTTTGGCAAGAACCTACACTATTCTCTTTGATACATATTTTTCCTTTGTAATGACTCCATGGTTTATCTCTAAGAAGATCATATCCCTGACCCCTCTGCATTGGGTTTACTGGTAGCAGGATCACATATTTGGGTAGTCTCACATCTGTGCATCACTTAAAGTCACTGACCACTGGGCTTGGCTTGCAAGCACATACCTGGCTCAGCATCATTCACATGACCTGTGTTCCCAGGGCCACGTCTGGCTCTGCCCCTTCCCACCTTGCACACATACTCATCACTCCAGTAGTAGAGCTCCAGTGTAGCAGACAAAGCACATTTGTGAACCCACATACGTTAGCTGTGGCCAGTGTAGTTCAGCAAGCTCTAAACCACAGCAAGTGCCTTGCTCAGCCTGTTCCACTACAGCATCATCAGGGTAACTAACTGAAGCCAACCGAGAGCCTCTTCATGCTGCAGAAGATAAATAGAAGTCTTACTCCAGCTCAGCAGCACTCACAGATCATCCCAACTCCTAACAAGATGTAATGAATCCCAGCAGGTCTGAAACCAACCTCCTTAAGGACTCACTGAGTAATAGTAATCATGGTTTTGGGGGTGGAGTTGCCTTGGGTTAGGTTTTGCTTTTCTGCTCTTCTCTAATTTG